GCTTGCATGATTTGGGTAGATCCCAAGCGATCGTGTGATTCGTGATAGATACTCATAGGGCATGTCACGAGCGCCCATCACAGATTCGCAGCATATAGTGGGTTATTAATGAATTTACCCGCTCGTTCGCTTCGTATAATACGGTATTTTTGGGTATAGACCCCCCGTCGATGAAGTCTGACATACGCAGCTAGACATGGCTACCTCGGGAGATTTGTTGACACCGAGAAAATTTGCTTGCAAGAAAGCTTGCGAATATTTTTCACATCACCGTTTCACATCACAACTGGTTCAAGTAAATCTTACATATTGCCGTTATCTACTCTCGTATCTATCAGAGACGGTTGGTAGTTCAAGCCTGGTCCTTGCGGATCGCTACTGACGTCTCCCTCTCTCCTAACTTTATGAAAGTAAAACACACACACACACACAAAACGAAAGTGAAGTAAAAACGAACATTGAAAACTGCAAATTAATATAAATAACCGGCTAGTGGCGCTTAACACCCCCTTTTCTCTATTGCCTTTCTTTTTTCACTTACTATCTTGGCCCTTGCGTGCATAATCTAGTTCACCGCAAAGAACCATCGACTCAGCGAGGACTTAGATAACGAGTTTATCTGACCTTGTTTGAACCCTCAGTTCGTGACAAGCACCTGCCGGGCTCAGGCCATATCACAAGCGTTCCGCCCCCCTCAGGGCTGGTTGGCGGACCCGCGACCCCCCGCACTCAGCGCTTACACAAAATTCGTTTCACTGTGTAGTACTCTTCATTAATGAAGAGTGGTGTATGTAGTAGTAAGGTTACCGTAATTCATTGTTAAACTGCTAATTACTGGATAGAGGAATTGTTTAAGTATATACGACGAAACAAGGCAACAGGCCTAAAGTGACAATCATTCTCTGACGAGTAATCACTTTTTGTATAGATGCTACGAGATTAATGAATAACTAAATAAACAAATCATATCTTATAAACCATTTGGAAAGTACGGATTATGTTGGCTGTCGAACACATCAGTACGACGTTGCGCGCAGTGGCCATGTGGCTGGAAGATCGAAGGGCCTCTTCGATGCGGGCCAGATCGTAGGTCATGACACTCGCGCCCGCACGCCCATCCTGCCACCATCCCCGCAGGGCGTCGGGTACTCCTGCCGGGCACATAGTAACCCAAATTTATCAAAGGAAACAGCAACTGCTATTTCCTAGATGCAAGGATTATTGACATTATTTTTGTTTATTTTCAAAGATTAAAAATGCGTCTTATTAGTCAGTATGCTATTATCGAACATGCAGAAATATAGAATGTCCATGCCCAAAAAAGCTATTCTGAAGGGATATTGCATTTTTTTTATTGTTTAATATTCACTCTGAACGTCCATCCATTTTGTGTACTGTCACAGGTGACTCAAAAAGCCTCATAAACCTGATTTACGTACTACTTACATGACTGCGGATATCACACCACATTCCTGACCATGAGAATAACTAACTTCACAAAACAAATCATTAATTACCATTCGTATTTTTACTTCAGATGCTGCAATGAGTTTCCTTCATTTATTCAATTCTCTGACAACTTTACTTACCTACCATGGTGCCGTCGTGGATGACAAGCAGAAGACTAGAGGGTTTCAGAACGTCGGTCATGAGAGCACTGAGTGTGGAAACTGTCTGTGCGGTTGTAAGCCTGTTTTTCAGTCCTCCAGTCCAGGTCCCATCGACCGCAGTCTGGACATGGCTGAAATACTGCATATCAGCTGCATTTCCCTTTGGCAATAACTGTGGCAAATCAGTCGTCAACAGCTGTAACTATATCAGAATTGTTCAAAGCAGCGACGTCGAATTCCACAAAAGGATATGTAATCGTATTAAAGTCGGGCTAGCAAATACAGTAATATTTAACCTTGAATTCCTCGTAGCTATAATTGGATTCGTTGTAAGGGCGCTGTCGTCTTCAAGTGGAGCGCTGATATGGTCGATCTCTCGGGCGTGGACGGGAGTGGCAGTGAGTTCAGTAATGGAATAAAAAGATGACACTATTGCAGAGTCTCGCTCACTGACATCCATCCAATCACTGCCATCGGCGATAACACAAACTGCAGAAAATTCTTAATTTGAAGGTGTTCTATCACACTAAAGTGCTACAATGAAATTATATATGTTTTGATAATTATGCACTATTACCAGTGTTCAGTTGTGATGTATTTAAGAACAGCTTTTTATCATAGAGGAATAAATTGCTCATATATATATATATATATATATATATATATATATATATATATATATATATATATATATATATATGAATACATATATACATTTGCACACACACACACACACACACACACATGTATATATATATATATATATATATATATATATATATATATATATATATATATATATATGTATATATATACATATATGTATATATATATATGTATATATATATATATATATATATATATATATATATATATATATATATAATATA